CACCTGCAAACTTGCTTGGTTCATTCATCCATTCATCCAGGTAAGAGGTAACATAAGTAGACTAGGTACATCCCTCCCTCCACAACAGACGGACAAAGGTAAACAAAGGTCAAAAGCTACTAGTAGTTACTACGTAGCATGCATGTATTTGCTTGCTGCCTTGTGCTTCACTTCCAATCTCTCCCTCCACAAGCTTCGTCTTTACAACCAATCTCTCTCCCTACTTCCACAGCTTCACCCATCTGTCGTGGCTCGCCGACGCAATCGACCCCGTCAGCGGGGAGTGCGCCAGCGCCGCGATCAGCCCCTCGTGCGCCGCGACCACGTTCCGCTGGTTATCCGATACGCTCCACAGCTCCACCGTCTGCATCATCACATCACATCACACCACATGTATATATAAATAAACGTTACCTAACTGTCCAGGTTTAATTTGTCTTTGTTATGTTGCACGGGAACATTATTATTCAGAATTTGCAGCAACCATGTCAATGCTTTGCTTACCTGGTAACCACCAACGATCAAAACTTTCGGGTATCTCGGATGGAATATGCATGACTGGTACTGGTTCCCATGCGACCTCAGCTCGTGGATGCACTGCCCTGACGCCACCGACCACACCTTCACGCTCTCCTGGCTCGCCGACGCCAGATACTCCCCCGTTTCGTCCCAGCAGATGCAGTTTACCTCGCTAGTGTGAACCTAAATCATTTTAAAAATATTTCAATGGTGAACAACTACCTCCTCACGTTGCACAAACACCTGTAAGAAACATCATGACCACCGTGCAATTCTTGATTACCTTTGCCTGCGAATGTAAACTCGTGTCCGTGTCAATATCAATCATGTTCACCGTGTTTCCTGCTGCCACGGCAAGGAGCTTTCCGATCCGAGGCTGAAACCTCACCCTACCAGTACCGCCCTGTTTCACCTGTATCCATTCATGTACAATTCAAGTATTATTATTGTCACTGAAACTATGTGGCTGCAAAACATCTACAAACGTCATGCGCTAGAGACAAACCCTGGACACGCGTGAAGCCGCATTTTGACCAACTGTCCAGAACCGGATCTCTCCATTGTCGTCACACGAGCATAGAATCTCTGTCAATTTCGGGTGAAAATCTACCGATGTTACATGGGAGGAATGCCCAAGAAAGTTTTGCAATGCGCCGGTTCGCTGCAAAATGAAGAAAATAATGGATTTAGGTATCTGGCAGTCAATACTAACATGGTGAAGTGAAACATAGGTCCATAAAAAATCAGTCACATCATCAATATGTGCACATGATTAGCGAATTAATGCGTGAAGTTTGGTTTCCTACAATTAGATCAACCAGCTGTATACTAAACATATATGTTATGTTCAAGCTCAATCTGACTAAACCTGTCTGCGTCCAATCAACAATCATGTGTACCAAAAAATGACAGACAGCAAAAGAACTAGGGTTACTGGGTCGCTCTGTAATAAACAAATCAAACTAAATCCATCATCAATTTCTGTCTGGCCCAAAGAACAGACCACTTTAACTTCTGATCAGCCTTAACCCATTAGACTCCATAATCATGAACGGTACTTGACTTGCAATTTGATTACTGGAGTCTGGATTCCTAAACTTGAACAGTTGTGTCAACCGACTGGACTCCATAATCATGAACAGTACTAGACCGCTTTACCTTAAGATCAGCTTCTACCCAATGAATTTAAATTGGTTAGACAGCCTGAAGGTCCTGTATAGTAGCTTATGCCATAAGTAAATGTTCTTGGACAACCACGACAAATCATGTCCTGGCACAATATTATTTCAGATTGCAGAATATAGTTTACATCTAGCAAGTACCCACATGCTTTGACTAATCAAACATTGCAATTAAAGGTACCAGTAAGTCTTAGATATTCCGTTGAGGTTTTTGCATTTAAGATATAAGTGTTCCATGGAGTTACAGAAGCTTGGCGCTTACTGAAAAAGAGACAAAGGTGTTCCCCTTTTACACTAACAAATAGGAGAGCATGATTTACACTTCCTCTATAAAAGACCTTCTATGGTATTCCCCTTCTATGGAGTTTGTAACTCAAGTTTGCAGTGATCTCTTGCCACAATCAAAGTGCAAAAGTTTAAATTTCAGTGTCAATGGTAGGCAGTGAAAAGCACCAAAAGGCCGGAACTTGCAGCAAATAAGGAAAGTAAGAATTACTAATGAGAAGCACATATAAAAAAAAACTAGAAGAAAATACCTCGGCTGCATTCCATAGTCGAACAGTTCCATCAGAAGATGAAGTAGCCAACTGAGTCGAATTCGGTCTGAATCTTATGTCTGTTATAAAGTTTGTATGTTCTTCTGGTTTAGTATCCATGCTAAAATTGTCCATATTCCAGAGGAAGACCTACAGTACCATAGAAGCATCACATATAAGAAAATATAAACTGCTTTACAACGGCCTAATTTTCTATCAGAGACGCAAAGCAATAACAAAATTACATGTCAACATTGCAGGTCAAGGTGGGTGAAAGGGTAATGTTGCATCTCCAGCAATAAACAGAATAAGATGCAGGTGCCGGTGTACGGTACGGCAGAAGAAATATGAGATAAATATTTTATTACTGAAAACAATCGTGACTGGAGTTAGCAATAACAAGTACTGTTAACGGTGATGAAATCTTGTGCCAATATTAAAGGTAAATTCTACTTATAAAATCCTAATATTCTTAAAAGAAGGAAACTGATTTTTAATTATTTGAACGCTCTGGCACAAGCAAGGAATTTACAAAATAAATTGTTAACTCGCATCTACTTGTGAGTTTACACAGCTTACCTTTTTCTCATGACCGGCACTAGCAAGTAACTTCCCGTCTGTAGAGAAGTGACAGCAAACAACCTTGTTGTTGCTTGCACGGTTGTTAGCAACCTCACTCAAAGAAAGACCTACAAAAGAATGAACGGTTTATAATGATTATACTTTTTCAGGGCTGAAGTTTGCAGTACAGCTCAAAAGCTTAAAATATTTACTCTTCAGGGACTCCTGCTCTGAGGGCCCTTTCTTCAATGCAGCGAATATGTCTCGACCGTCCCCATCATCATTTGACAAAAATGAATCGACATTATCATCAAAATCAACAAAACTATCCAAATTATCCTGTCAGTAACAGAAGTTGTTTGAGCACAACAAACTGACAACCAAAAATTGAAACAGTAGAGCAGTATGCACGTAATAATAGTACCATCTGATTTGAGGATGAAGCAAATCCACTGGTTCCATCCGCGCCACAAGCCATTGAACTTTTTTGCGCAATGTTCACGTTGCTAGCTACTGGTATTCCACCACCAGGAGTATGAGTTGATGGAGTTGAGGGTGGAGAAGGCCCAACGGTATTTCCTGTGCCGGTACTATTAGCTGGCCCAGAAGAAGTTGGCTTCCGTTTTCTACTATTCTGGATATCAAGAATAATGGGCACGCTTAGGTATCACATGTATGGAGCTATAGAACTTAAAAAACATCTCAAGGTAACTTAGGCCACCTGCTGCTGCTGCTGTTGGTGCTGTTGGTGCTGTTGTTGTTGCTGCTGCTGTTGCTGTTGTTGTTGTTGCTGCTGCTGCTGCTGCTGTTGCTGTTGCTGTTGATGTTGCTGCTGCTGTTGCTGGTGGTGCTGCTGCTGTTGTTGCAATTCCATCATCCGGTGGCCCGAGGATTGCTGCATCTGGGCCATCTTCAACTAACAGATTGCAAATATTGTATAATAGTCAATTATAAAATGCATGATTTGCATAAGGTGCCATAATAGTGAGTTACTGACCTTCATCATATACTCGTGCTCATCTGGCCGAACCTTTGGTGAACCAGAATGAGCTGGAGAACCCATTCTAGCAAGCTCATTCTGTGTCTGTGCTTGAGCCATCAATTGCTGTTGTGGTGATAAGATTTGAAATTGGTTTGGAGATGTCATCAACTGCTTCTGTGCGCCTAAACTTGACCGGAGTTGATCGATACCTGGGACCTTTTAGCAAACAACAAAACAGATAAGCTTTCAAAAAGAGAAGTAAACAAAGGGTATAAAGAGATGTCAGCGAACTCACTGTTAACGGCCAGCCTTTCAGTGGCACACTCCCGACTCCTTGATTTAGTCCTAAGTGGAGGAAGATGGATCAGAAAAACACCTTCGACCATTTACTGAAACTATTTATATTGTTTGTCATATAGTTTTACAAATCTCAGTCCAATTTAATTTCAGAGTGTTTGTCGTGAGTTTAATGTGCAATGGACACAAGCAAACTAGTTGCATGCTCACATCTAAATCAACAAACACTCAAGTATGAATATGATAGTACTAGCCACAGCAAGCCGAAAGGGTACTGATGGGTAAAAACAAAAGAACTCGTGATGCAATTTTCACTAGGACACCCGGCATGGACACATAATGGGTCTTCCATCAGTACAATGTGTTTTCTACATCAGGAGACACAATGAGCAGCAGTACGTATATCATCTCAGGATATATTACTCACCAGAAGCGGCTAATCCAGATTTTGATTGGAGCATCGCTGCTCCGTATAATGCAGAAGGGTCTGTAGGCATTGTTCTTTGTTGAATAGCACCTTCACCTTTGATGTCCTTGAAAATAGTTGAGTGGAATATTAGGATTAAGAAACAGCAAGCAGGTGCAGCGAAACTGTGGATAGAAATGAGTTACAGAGGACAGTATGCATTACAACTTGCTGGTTTCTTGACTGAAGCTGCTGCTGCAGAGCTGCCATGTTGACTGAGCTGCCCTGAAGTTGCCTGAGTGGACAAAAGGATTAATCAGAAAACTCACCAACGCTTAGTTGGTGCTGGAATGAATTGCTAAAAACCTACCCAGCTTGGTTAGCTGCTGACTTGAGAAGAGCCATCCTATTTGCATCGAAGAGCTGCTGTGATGCCTCAGAGTCCATAGGATTGTGATTCCTCATTCCTTCCATCAATTTAGAGGCCAGGACAGCCGATACATCAGAGTTCATAGCACCATTAAGGGCCGGTTGATTTGGATCCCTTCTCTGCAAGTGGGCATTCTGCTGTTGCAATAGCTGGAGTCTCATCTGGTGTTCCCTTGATTTCATCTAGCGCAGCACAAAGAATTCCATAAATAAATACAAAAGCATATACAATGAGCAGCACATGTGACTTGACATACCATTAAACTTGATATACAGAATGCAGATATCACATTCACATTTCACAGATAGGAAAAAAAGACAGTAGCATTGGCAGTAAGTTACAACATGCAGTATCCATGTTACGGCCTAATTCAGTGTCAGTGCACTAGTCACACTCAGTGGTCAGTTTTACTTTGCCAGATTATGCATGTCGCATTCCACTTTGAAATAGTCAATGCATCGTGTTGGGGGCGCTCTGTTTCTCTTTTTCCACTTTGAGGTCAATGTGACTTGGCCATAGTAGCATCGGATGACACGGCAGTAAGGATAAGCCTGTGTACATACAGCCTAGGTATAATAGAGGAGCATATAGAAGGTAGAATGGTAGGTTGCTTCCCAGCTAGTAAGTAATAGAATGTCAGCGAAAATGGAACGGGTAATTATAAATGTGGATGCTCAGCTGAAGAGGTAGCTACCAATAGCATTTTAGCAAAACAAGAAAGAGAGGTTGAATCCGTATTGAAGTCACACATTATTACCGTTGCAGGCCAAGAATAAACATTGTTATAGCACATCCTGTTTGACCTAGTAACATCAACGTGCAGGTACAGGTGTGGTGTGGGATGATATGAAATAGTAAATCCTAGTTAAAAGCAGGGCAAGGCATAATAATAAAAATAATAAAAATAAGTGAAGGAATGTAGAAAGAAGTTGGGCATGGAGGAGGGAGTTATGACATACGTCCATAGAAGGCGGTGCGGCGGCCCCAGGCCCTCCTGCGTCGTGGGGCTTGTCCCTTGTCCTGGCGTCGAAGATGTCCCAGAAGATGGACCACCACTCGAAGAGGAAGCCTCCCGGGGCGTCGATCGCTGCGGAACGAAACGGAAGGGAACGGAAGCGAAAGCAGACAAGCATTAGCCATTAATAAGTAGGTAACACATGAGTTAGTACTAGTAGTACTGGTACATATTCCTCCTGGTTGTAATGCTGGTTGTACAGGCCACCCAACCCAAAATTCACACCAACCAAAACACCTGCCCTGCCTGGGGTGGTGTGGTGAGAGGAAAGAAAACATGGACATAGTATATCTGTTGTGGTGTGGTGAGTGGCTTGGGGGAAAGAAAACACACAGGCAGAGAGGGAGATGCACATCTATAAATGGTTACCTTGCTTGTTTTTGTGTCTGTTTTCCTTTCCCCCAATGAAGGGGATTGGTTTGAGCATCTATCTATCTATCTATCTATCTATCTATTATTAGCTAGCTATACTACTGGGGTCACTAGAGAAGAAGAAGATGCATCTTCTCTCCCTCCCTGCCTCCCTCAGAAAGGGGAAGGTAAAGGGGAAGATAGAAACATGCGTGCGTACCGACGGGATCGGTGGCGACCTTGCCCTCGTTCATGAAGGCCTTGGCGGAGTTGTGGAGGTTGCGCTTCACCAAGTAATCATAGATGTACACGTCCAGCCTGCAATCCCCAATCAGGACAATCCAATCCCCCAAAATTGAATTGAACTCAGTATCAATTTCGATTTGATTCGATTCGATTCCATATGAAGTAGAGAGAGAGAGAGAGAGAGAGGAAGCAGAAGCAGAGGAGGAGGAGGAGATTGGATACGTACATCTTGTCCGCCTCCCAGTTGCTCCTCTGTGCCATGGCTCCGGCCGGCGCCGCTCCCTTCCTTCCTTCCGTTGGTGCGCCGCGCTGCGCTGTCGCCCCCTCTTTCTCTCTCCCTCTGCGAGCCGCGCGGTGCCTGCCGGGTTAGGGTTGGGCCGGGCCGGGCCGAGAGGAGTAGCGTAGCATAGCAAAGCAGGTGGCAACTGGCAACCGAACATGGGGGTGGCCGACGTGTGGGTCCCACCAGCCTGCCTGCCGGCCGGCTTGGGCTGTCGTCCTCGTTTTATTACCCACCTCAACTGCTTGCGCCGTCCGACAAAGGAACCACACGTGAATCATTTCATTTCATCATACAATTCTAGTATCCATTCATCTGTTCACAATTTGTAAGCTGGATGTACATAAATTCACCTTTTTTTCTTAACTTAATCATCATCTAACCCCTTTTTTCTTAACTTAATCATCATCTGTTCACAATTAATGGGTCGGGCCGAGGACCCCGGACTATCAAGGAATGGGTCATGTTTATCATGGACCCTGTCGTGCTCAAGATGAAATCCTCCCAAGACTTTGACTCACACTTCAACACATGTTCAAATCATCGGCAAGCTTATCCATGTATTTAATTGGCCTACATATAACCCTAGGCACCCCGGTCCCTATATAAGCCGAGGGTTTAGTCCATAGGGTAGAGAGGTTAGACACATTCGTACGATCTCGACGTAGATCAACATGTACTTTGTACTTCATCACAATCAATAAAGCAAAAGCAGGACGTAGGGGATTACCTCTTCGAGAGGACTGAACCTAGATAAATACTGTGTCCCGTGTTCATCCTATTATTTCCTAGCCAAGATCACCAGCTTAGGACCCTCTATCCGAGATATTGTCGGATTTAGCCCCGTCATTGGTAGCCCATGCAGGTCCAACTATGTGGTCAACCCGGCTTAACGGCTTATCTCCGGATAGACGATAACATTGGTTGTGGGATTCACCAAGGTCATCATAATGTTTAACTAGACACAGTGCGATCCAGTATACCCTTATGTTTATAACCCGGCGAAGGAATAATAACCCAAATCTCTCTGGTTAATCCGGTAATTGACTAGGACAAATCAATTCCTGTAAAACATAATATAATATAGGGGCATAATAATTAAGTGGAATAAATAAGTTGCATAAGTATTAAGCCGGCGTTCGAGGCACGGCAAAAAAGACCGGCTTTCGAGGCTCATGTCTTGCTTCAATGAAGCTGGCGTGATAGCCAATGGTTTATCCTCGCTTTCTGTAAATAGGCTCTCACATGACTAAAGCGGGCGTTTTAACCTTGACAAGTTCAGGGTCAATATTGATTGACTTATCAAGAATACACTGGGTCACATTTGCGGAGTAGCATCGAGCAGACATGCAGGTTTAACCAAGATTCATAATGGCATATGCCGGGTCAAGAGGGATGTTAAATTGTTAATAGCTAAACTCGATGAGTTGGAAGCCCTCAAATGACCTATTATCAAAAAATAAAGACTCATGCATAATATATGAGACGAAACGACAGAAGTCCCGAGTTTCGAGGGTGCCGACTTTATTATATTGATCATAAAATATATACATTAGGTATGTACAAAGAACTGGAGCCAATGGCTCTAGCTATAATATGGTCGAAGGTGTGCAATATTCCAGGGCCCAAGGGTCTCTTCTTCAGAGGTACGTGACTTGTTGTGTTTACGTATGTCAATGAGATAATATGACCCGTTGTTGAGGTTCTTGCTGACAACAAAGGGTCCTTTCCATGGAGGTGAAAGCTTATGCATACCTGTTTGTTCTTGTATCAGACGGAGCACTAAGTCATCCTCCTGAAAAGTACGACTGCGCATTCTAGCGGCATATGTCTTGCTGATATGTCGCAGATCGTGCTGCAGCGAAATCATGGATGGCAATGGGTCGGGTTTGGATCGGGTTGAACAATATGAATTCCATATCCATATCCATGAAGATAGTTTTTGCCCGCCCATGAAAAAATCCATAGGTGAAAAACTTTGTCCATGTCCAAATCCGATGGATATCCATACCCACTGGATATCCATTGGGTCCTCTCGAGACATATAAATAAGACATAACACAATATTAACATAAATTCTTCCATTCTTCACCTCGTGGCAGGCTAGGCTTCACTTATGGTAAATCAACATCCACTAACAACCTAAGATCATTTAGTATTTTTCTAACAGATCAGAATGACGAGTCATTTAAGGAGATAAAAATAAGGAAAGGGGCATTGGAGTATGTTACGAAGGGGATTGAATGTCAACTCATAAAAGTTACGATGGGGATTGTGTAATTTCTTATGCATGTTTTAGATAAAAAGAAAGTGTAAAATTGTCGTGGGACATGTGACTGTGGGGTAGGGATAGCACATCTTTCCCCATTAAGTCATACTATTGGGTCGGGTTTGGGTATATCCATGGGTAGAATATTATATCCATGCCCTACCCACGAACAATCGGGTCGGGTTTGAGCGCCGCTCATGGACACAAAAGCACATCCAAACCCTATCCATTCGGGTCGGATATCCATGGATATCCATGTCCATGGATAAAATTGCCATCCTTAAGCGAAATTGCGTTCCTCTTCTAGGGCATCCAAAGAGTCCTGACGAGTTTGTTCGTTATCTTTTTCGGCATAAGCTGCGACTCTGGGGAATCATGACAGAGATTGCTGGGTAAACTAGACTCAAACAGGTGGACGTGAATAGTTTTTGAGTTAGAGTAATTTCGATCATTCTTACAGTCAGCACATGGACAACACATAAAATCATCCGCCCGCTTGTTTGCCTCTGCCGCAAGCAGAAAAGTATGCACACCATTAATGAACTGGCGAGAGCATCGGTCATCGTACATCCATTGTCGGCTCTTCATTACACAACACCGAAAAGACCAAATTAATACAAGTTCATACACACTTATTCTCATAAAACAACATACACACTCTTTGGTTAAAACATTTAAATGCAACAACAAATGCGATCAAGATCGCAATTAAGATAACAAATGATCCAACAGCATAATGATACCAAGCCTCACTATCAATGACATATGTTCTAATCTTTCTAATCTTCAAGCGCATTGCATCCATCTTGATCTTGTGATCATCGACGACATCGACAACATACAACTCGAGTTTCATCTTCTCTTCTTCAATTCTTTTCAATTTTTATTTCAAATACTCGTTTTCTTTTTAACTAAATTTAACTTCTTGACAAGAGGGTCGGTTGCAATTTCCGGTTCACATACCTCCTAGATAAAAATATCAATGTCAACTTGATGAGCATAATTTGTCATAAACACGAAATGTAACAAATAGTTATAAAAGAGAATATACCACATCCGAATCATAAACCGGACGAGGGCCGACGGGGACGGATATCAAAACCATGCCACTATGTATAACAAACAACGTACGGGTAAGAAAATTATACAAGTAACTAGCTAAATCACACAAACATGATTTTTTTTTATAAAAAGGATAAGAACAAGAGGCTCACCAAGGTGGTGGTGCCGGTGACGGGACGGTGCGGGCGATCAACGGTGGTTAGGACGGGGACGGGAAAGCACTAAGTAAACCACACCTACATATGCATAATTTGAGCTCAAATTGCATATAAAATCAAAGAAACTATCACATATAATTACTCCCAAACTAAAACTCATAAATCATTATACTTATAGAGCATCGTAAGAGTTAACCTAGCAATGAGAGATGAAAGGACAAAGTTGCTAACCTTTGTGAACACTTGGATGATGGGGTGCCTTCAAATCTTGACAATTTTTGGTAAAAATGGAGGATGAGCTCGAGCAAGAGGGGAAAAACAGAGAGGAGAGGAAAGAGGAAGAACAAAGAGCTCGCCGGCTGGACGAAGGGTTTATATAGGAGCCTCTAATCTCGGTTCATGACACAAACCGGCACTAAAGGTGAGTTTCTAGTCCCGGTTTGTGTCACGAACCGAGACTAAAGGGGCTCGTGGGGCCCCAGTCTGCCACCAGCCTTTAGTCCTGATTTGTGTTACGAACCGGTACTAATGATTCCCTCCCCCCTAGCCGTTGGAACCGGCACTAATGGTTACATTAGTACCGATTAGTTTCCAAATCGGGACTAATGGGGCTCACGTAAAGTCATTTTTCTACTATTGGTGGACCCCACAAGGTTGTCGACTTGCCCGCAATCTTCCATCCGCGCTGCCCTAAAAGATCCCGACTTTTATGGACGTGGACAGTGCCGTCTTTGAAGCACCTTTCTCGTTGTACGTGGAAGTCGGGGGATTTATGGACTTGGATTTGGGTCTACGTTCGTCCATAAATACTCCCGACTTCTCCGCCTTCACAAACCCAATTTGCGGCATGGCGGAGCAGACCAACGCGCCCATCATCAATCTCACCGATCAGCTGCAGGTGATGTGTTGGTGTATTCTAATGTGTTGGTATTATATATGCAACATCTTGTGGTTTTACGTGGCTCATTTTATTCTGTTGGGGCTTTGAAACTAAAAAGGTATTTTAACAGATTATCAAGAATGAAGATCTCCTGGAGGTCAGGATCCTTGGTTCCGGCGCCTTCGGGACGGTGTACCATGGAAAGTGGAGAGGAACTGATGTGGATATTAAGCACTTTAAGAAAAATTGTTTCTCAGGCCAATCTTCGAGCAAGTAAGCTTCTGAACCCACATCAATACTTGTGTTAGTTTGCTTTACCCATTTCTTTTTTCTTGAGTTAGCTAGAGTAGTTAAATTTAATCCTCCTGGTGTTTGGCTGGAGGCAGCCCCGGGGGCAATTGTCCCCCTGATTGTTTCTGATGCTACGATTGTAGCTATTTAATAAAGGAGGTGTTGAATGTCAAAAATAAAATAAAATAAGCGGGTGATAGTTTTCTTTCCCCATTTCTTTTTTCTTGTAACATATACAACATGCTGAAATTTATTACTGGAAATTGTCGTTTTGGAAGTGTGTGACTCGCATTATTATCACACATTGCCATGGATGGCCCC